GGGCTCCAGATCCGGGACGCCCCGCGCTTGGGGCTTGCCTGGCGCGGGCCACGTCTAATGCCTTCCCGCAGCGAGGGAGCGCGAAGGTTGGCCTTCAGTTTTGCCGATGGGACAAAACACCCGGACGGTCGGACTAACGACCCAGGCGGGCCGTAGAGAGGGGGAAGGGTTGAGTGGAAAACGCAGGGTTTAAATCTTTGAATGAAAATAGGGTAAGAAGGGGAAGCCGCGGCTGCGGAGCTGGGCTTGCTGGACAGGAACATTTGCATGCGGCATGCAGGGCACTGAGTCAGCGCCGTGGTCGCGTCCTCGCGCGCTCCTGAAGATTTCTTTGGAGAAAGCGCAGCAAGGTCAGCCGGGCAGTCCGTCAAGGACGGCGCTTGCGGCTCCTGCATGCTAATGGCCTGCGGGGTTGCCTGCCTGCGCCGGGCGCCCAACTCCTGCAGAGCATTAATTCAAGCCCCCATCAACGCTTCTCTCCCCTCATCCGCTATCCTGGGTAAAGCTTGCAGCCGTTTGTCTAAGACCCAGCTATCAACGAGACACTGAGACCTTGTCTCATCCTTGGAGCTACTCGTAAGTCCTAGGTCATGGAGCTGGCTGCCTTTGGGTACCACAGTCCCCAAAAGCTTTATTTAGTAAGTCACTACGTCGAGAAGCACTCTATACTTCAGAGTGTATGCCAGGAAAAATAATCACAGAAATGCAGTGTGAATACCCTGTCTCTGCGGAAATCGTCACCCCTAAAAATCGTCGCCACCCAACCCCCACCCCTGGGCGACACCTCTGCCATCCTGACACCGAAGTCTTCTAGCACTTGGGAGTCACATAGCCATGGCAGCCCCAGATGGCTGATTCTAGTAGTCCCCTTCCCAGGACCCTCCAGATTCGAGGGTAGGTTCCTAGAGGCAAGCCAAGAATTCCATTGGGAACTTGACCAAAATGCAAATCTCAGCAAGAGAAAGAACTTTGGTGGGGAGTATCCAGACTCCAATAATTTCAACCCTGTTGTTTCTTGAACTGAAAAACCCAAGGAGTGTACTGGTAAGTTGTCAAGATTAGGGTTTTACATCATGTAAAGGTACAAGATCCCAATGATGAATGTAACTGTACTGTATACCTAAAATGTATCAATAAACTCAATGAGAAAAAAGATTTGGGTTTACCAATAATTTGGAATTTAATTCACAAGGCAGAAGTGCACCTTGCACTATTTATGAAGTGTTTGTGTGTTTATCCAGGAGGTCTTAGGTAGGCTTCTTAGCTAATTAAAGGAGTAACAAACATTTGGAAGGTCCATCATTATAATAATTCTTGCATTCATTTGGTGTATTACACATCAAAAAGCACTTGCCCTCACATATATTAATGATTTTTTTACCTTCCAGCCTCTGGCTAAACCACATGACAATTGTATGGACCAAAGCACGAGCTGTCCACAGTAGCTCACCTAGCAAGAAGTCCTTGGAGTCTGATGTGCAGCCTTGCCCTACACATACAGGCAAGGAGAACAGCCCTGCTCAGTTGTGCTCCACCTTCACCCATCACTGGCTTAATGGTGCATTTTTGCTGTCTTCAACAGTGGGCCCTCATGTGACTTTGCACTGGGCCACCCAAATTATGAAGTTTGCACACAAGTCCCAAGTTGACAGAAGGCTAATTTTTACCTCCAATAGTTGGCCCTCAAATGTAGACTTCATAAGGTTCCATTGCCTTCACTCCAGGCAAAACATCCTTGTTTCCTTCTATTCCTGCTTAGCCCCCACCCCCCCACCCCAAAAGGCTTCCACTCTGAGAGCTGTCTTTGGATGCATGCTTCCTTGGCAAAACAAATGTTTCAAAGTAATAAATAAATCTAAATTATCCTAAAACTTGTTTAAGTGCACTATAATAAATTTACAAAAAGTACATAAACCATAAATGTACCACTGGTTGAATTTTCACAAGCTTAGCATACCTGTGTGACCAGCACACAGATCAAGAGACAAAAATAAGCCAGGGAGGTAACTCAGTAGCACTGCACCTGCCTGGCAAGCACAAGGTCCTGAATTCAATCCCTGGTACCAGAAAAAGAAAAAACAAAAGAGAAAAATAAGCTGATGTGGTGGCAAATGCCTGTAATTCCAGGTACTTGAGAAGGTGAAGCAGAAGGATGACGAGTTTGAGGCCAGCCTGGACAATTTAATGAGACCTTGTCTCAAAATAAAATATTTTTAAAAGGTCGATATATATAGCTCAGTGGTAGAGTGCCAGCCTAGTATGCACAGGGTCCTGTGTTCAATCTCCACTACTGCAAAAGAAAGGAAGAAAAATACTCTCAGAACCCCAGGACCCTTTCGTGCTCCTTTCCAGTTACTACATACTCAGGAGTAAACCACTGTTCTGACTTCTACTGCCAAAGACCTCTGTACTTCCTGTTCTTGTATTTTCTATAAATGGAACCATACATTACATATTCTTTTATGTCTGGCTTCTTTAGCTGAGTGTTGATTATGAGATTCATCCATGTCATCACGTGCTGTGAACAGACTTCTAAGACTCCCTAAATTCCTCACCCCTTCTTGTACCCACGCCTTCACCCACTATATCAACTGAACATTAATCTGCAGGGTTTTTGTGGGTGTCATTATGCATAAATCAGTTGCCATTCAAATCAGAAAATTGCCCTGCACATCCTGATTACACGAGCCCTTAAAGAGGAGTGGGATCTTCCCAGTAGAAGACAGATGAAACATGAGAAGAATGAATATGAGAAGGTTCTTCATTGTTGGCAGTTAAGATAGAGACTGCTTAAATAAGTACTGAAATGTGTAATGGATGTGTTGTGAAATGGGCAGAAAGTGTTCAGATGAGAAGAACAAGGGAGGAGGGAGGAAGAAAGGATGGGAGGGACAAGAAAAAACTGAAAACAAGGAAAAAATGGAAACAGCTTTTGTACATAGGAAAGGGAGGAGGATTGGGGGAATGAGATAAAATTTATTTAAAAAAAAAACGAAGAAAATACTTGGCAAAGTATGCAAATAGCCTCCTGAAGCTGAGAGATGGGCTCCTGGCTAATAAGCAAGCAAGGAAACAGAGAATCTTAGTCCTACAAACACAAAAAGACCCTGAATTTCACTGACAACCTGAATGAGTTTCTAGGAGGGTACTGAGCGCCAGCTGCCCATACCTTGATTTCAATCTTTGGGACCCCTCAGCAGAGATGCCAGCTCCACTGCCCCCAAATTTAAGACCCATACAATGGCAGCTTATATGTGTATGACATTTAGGCTGCTAAATCTGTGGTCATTGGTTTCACATCAATATTGTTTGATCTTAGAGATGGCTATGGCACATCTTTACCCATCCTACTATTAATGAACATGGAGGTATCTGCCTCCATGAACCTCCCAGTGCGTGTGTTTTGGTGAACACATGCATGCCTATCTACTGGGCATCTGCACTTGAAAGTAAAATTGCTTGGTCAGACAGCAAACATATGTTCAGATGTAGCGACTACTACCAAGCAGATTTCCAAAGGGATATTCAGACTTGCTAAGACCAATAAGAATTCAGGTGACACTGTAATTAACTGGCTAACCTAATAGCAAAAAAGCCCACCAAGCTAAAGTCCAAATAGATGAGGGACAGTAACAGCCCCAAAGGTACTTGCTCTGCAAAGGGGAGGCACTTCCTCTCTCAACTGGCAGATCACCTGCACAAATTAGCAGAAAATAAGGTTAATGTTAATGACAGGCACAGTTGGAACTTTGCAGCAATACTCTGTCGGGGATCTATTTTGATCCCATGATACTCTGCAAATGACCAGCAATAGTTCAGTAGTTCAGTGTGTTTCTGCTGAGGTGGCTCTTCTATCCTCACAGCGTTTTAAATCTCACTTCTTCAGATCAAGTCAGAGTCTCTCTCTCTCTCTCTCTCTCTCTCTCTCTCTCTCTCACACACACACACACACACACACACACACACACACGCTTTACAAGCCTCTACAGTGGAGTCAGAAACCTAAGGTTGTAAAATGTGGGATTTGAAGTCCTTTTTCTTGCTATCCCTATAGAGCCAGTTTCCCCTGTAAGCCAATTTTATATTCTGATTACAGAATCACAGAAAACACTCAGAAGGCCTTGCAACAAAAGAGTAAACACATAGATAAGTGATCATGATGACAGATTCAGTGAACACCATTTTTATCTTGTAATTGCCAGGAACGGGGACAGCTGTATTATTGTTTAAAACACACACGCACACACAATGAAGCCAAGAATAAATGTCAACACTGGCACAATCTGCTAAATTACTGATAACTGATGGGCATTACTCATGCTGTGAGCACTGTTTCCAATATAAAATAAAAAGACTTAAAAAAAACAACAAAAAAGAACATAGAGGCTTCTGTGGGCTTAAGAAAGCAGGCTTTTATTTCACACAGCACAACTGCAACCTGCCAGATTATGTAAGTGACATTCCACCCATGTGTTCAAGGAGTTTGTGATAAGTACATTCTGTTCTTGCGCCTCTTTACATTTATGTTAACAAGTCAAGCCTTCAAGAGGCTGACTGCTGCTGGCTTTGGGACATTTCGTCTGTGGTGAGAGCATCTTGCTACCAGGTGAGCAGAAATGCTTATTACAGCCTTATAAGTCAGAGATCTGGAGTTTGCCATTGCATGGTTAACTGCAGACATTAGACTTTACTGTATCA